GGAAAGAAGCTTCAACAACATCCTAGCAGTCTTGCAAAAAGTGTTTCCTCATGCTGAAATTAGCCAGAGTGACAAGAAAGAAGATATAGAAACTCTGATTTTAGATGATAGTGAAGATGAGAATGCTTTATCAATTTTTGAGACCAGTTGTCACTCAGGATCACCAAAGAAACAGTCATCAGCTGCTGCTGTACATAAACCCTACCTTCATTTTACAATGTCACCATATCATCAGCCAACCTCTTACAGGCCAAGATTATTGCTGTCTGGAGAACGGGGCTCAGGTCAAACTTCTCACCTTGCTCCAGCACTTTTGCACACTCTAGAAAAGTTCTCTGTGCACAGACTAGATCTCCCAGCACTTTATTCAGTTAGTGCCAAAACACCTGAAGAATCATGTGCACAGTTTTTCTGTTTTCTACTACACCTTGCACATCCACCAATCCAAGACACCCTATAGAACTTTGGAAAACAATAATCCTTGGATTTTCAAGATCCAGGATAAGAGGGTGCGTGTTTGCAGAAAAGGTCAAAATTTGAGAGTCCTGGAGTTGTACTGTACAACTGTTCTGGATTGGTGGATATGCAAATATTAAAGGAAGGGAAGGAGCAAATATTACTTTTGATATTTTTCGTGAAGCTCGAAGAACAGTACCTAGTATTGTTTACATGCCTCACATTGGTGATTGGTGGGAAGCTGTCAGTGAAACTGTGAGAGCTACTTTTCTGACATTGCTACAAGATATACCATCATTTTCACCTATATTTTTATTGTCTACCTCTGAAACCATGTACAGTGAACTGCCTGAAGAGAACTCTTTCAGGGTGCCTGGCTGACACAGTTCACTAGAGAATGCAACTCTTGATCTTGGGGTCACGAGTTCAAGCCCCACCTGAAAAAGCTGAAAAAAGACTGAAAAAGCAACCCACAGAATGGCAGAAGGTTAAATGTATCTTTAGAATACAGTATGAAGAGGTCTTGTATATTCAAAGGCCTATTGAAGAACACAGAAGAAAATTTTTCCAAGAATTGATTCTCAATCAGGCATCAATGGCTCCACCACGGAGGAAACACACTGGTCTTTGTGCTATGGAAGTGCTTCCCCTTGCACTACCTTCTCCACCTCGTCAGTTATCAGAATCAGAAAAAAACCGGATGGAGGACCAGGAGGAAAATACTTTAAGAGAGTTGCGGTTGTTTCTCAGGGATGTAACCAAGAGGCTGGCCACAGATAAACGCTTTAACATCTTCAGCAAACCGGTGGATATTGAAGAGGTCTTGTTTCAGTAGTGTGCAAACAGTGAAGTTGAACTGGCTAAAAGAAAAAAATGTTGACATCTTTTTTTGGAAGGAAAAAAAACAAAGGTTTCAGATTATCTTGAAGTAATCAAGGAACCAATGGATTTATCAACAGTAATAACTAAAATTGATAAGCATAATTACCTGACTGCTAAGGATTTTCTGAAAGATATTGACCTCATCTGTAGCAATGCTCTAGAGTACAATCCAGATAAGGACCCAGGAGATAAAATAATTAGGCACAGGGCTTGTACCCTGAAGGACACTGCACATGCCATCATTGCAGCGGAATTGGATCCAGAATTTAATAAACTCTGTGAAGAAATTAAGGAAGCAAGAATAAAAAGAGGCTTATCGGTAACAGCAGAACAAATAAATCCTCATGGCACTGGAGCTCGGAAGACTGAAACTAGAGTTGAAGAGGCATTTCGGCATAAACAAAGAAATCCATTGGATGTCTGGCACAACTCTGCAAATAAATGTGCATTTCGAGTTCGAAGAAAATCAAGGCGGCGATCACAGTGGGGTAAAGGAATTATTAAGAAAAGGAAAGTCAATAATTTAAAAAAAGATGAAGAGGACGCTAAATTTGCAGACTATGAGAACCATACAGAGGACAGGAAGTTGCTAGAGAATGGAGAGTTTGAGGTAAGCACTGACTGCCATGAAGAAAATGGCGAAGAGACCGGAGACCTCTCTATGACCAATGATGAATCATCATGTGACATCATGGACATGGACCAGGGGCAGAGGCTTAACAATGGAGCGGGCACGAAGGAGAACTTTGCATCTACTGAAGAGGAAAGTTCCAATGAGTCTCTGCTCATCAACAGCAGCGGTTCTCTAAATCCAGAACAGACATCTAGGAAAGAGCCTTTCCTTAAAGGAAGCTGTCTCAATGGTGAGGCCTCCACTGACAGTTTTGAAGGAATACCAGTTCTGGAGTGTCAGAATGGCAAAGCTGAAGTAGTCTCTTTCTGTGGTAGTGGTGACAAATGTAGTTCTGAACAAAAGATTGTCCCAGAGGACCAGTCAAAAGAAAAACCAGAAACTTCGAATGAACATCATGGAGATGATCCTGAGAAACTAGACGCCCTGGAATGTAGCAGTAATGAGAAGTTAGAACCCAGCCCCGAAGTGGAGGTTAAAGATGCAGAACTGGATAAAGAAGGTGCTTCTAAAGTAAAGAAATACCGTAAGTTAATTTTAGACCAGGCAAAAACAACAAGCCTGGAACTGGTTCCAGAAGAGCCGTCTGAGCCTGTGCCGCCTCTTATAGTTGATCATGAGAGATTGAAGAAATTGCTTGATTTATTGGTAGATAAAAGCAACAATCTTGCAGTTGATCAACTTGAGAGATTATATTCTCTTCTTAGTCAATGCATCTATCGTCATCGTAAAGATTATGACAAATCACAACTTATAGAGGAGATGGAAAGAACAGTTCATATGTTTGAGACATTCCTATGAACTTTTCAAGATGAGTGGTTTATCCTCTCCCATCTGCTCCTGACAGAGCAGTCTTCTGAGCCATTCAATTTCAAATTGCACCAATTATGTGCAGAGCCTTGGTGTAAAGTGCTCTCTCACTCATTCTTTCTCTCTGTTGAATTTGGTGCTATTGTCTCAGGTACTTGAAACCAACCAGCCTACAAGAACCAAACAGAACTTCAGAAACATGTTGTATTTTCCATAAAAAAAAAAAATACAACCCCAAAAAAAAAAAAAAAA